GCCTGCAATGCTGGCATCCCATATGGGTGCCGGTTCATGTCCTAGCTGCTCTGTTTCTTTTTTATTTTATTTTATTTTATTTTATTTATTTATTTATTTTTTTTGACAGGCAGAGTGGACAGTGAGAGAGAGAGACAGAGAGAAAGGTCTTCCTTTGCCGTTGGTTCACCCTCCAATGGCCGCCGCGGCCGGCGCACCACGCTGATCCGATGGCAGGAGCCAGGAGCCAGGTGCTTTTCCTGGTCTCCCATGGGGTGCAGGGCCCAAGCACCTGCGCCATCCTCCACTGCACTCCCTGGCCACAGCAGAGAGCTGGCCTGGAAGAGGGGCAACCGGGACAGAATCCGGCGCCCCGACCGGGACTAGAACCCGGTGTGCCGGCGCTGCTAGGCGGAGGATTAGCCTAGTGAGCCGTGGCGCCAGCCCCTAGCTGCTCTGTTTCTGATCCAGCCCCCTGCTAGTGGAAAAAGCAGCAAAAGATGGCCCAATTGATTGGGCCCCTGCTACTCACGTGGGAGACCTGAATGAAGCTCCTGGCTCCTAGCTCTTGGCTTTGGCCTGGCCCAGCCCTGACTGTTGTAACCATTTGGGGGAGTGAACCCAAGGGATGAAAGATCTCTGTGTCTCCCTCTCTCTCTGTAACTCTTTGAATTCAAATAAATTAAAAAAAAAAAAAAAAGAAAGAAAAGAAAAGAAAAAATAGGCAAAAACAAAGTGTGAGAGAGGGTGGGAATTTTGGGAACTGCAAATAGTCTGTTTTTATTGGGCCTTGGATAGTAAAGTAGGGTTTGGGGAGAGTTGAAAGTAGGGGCCACATCCTGAAAGGGATCAATTGTCATATTGAGCGTTTAGGGCTTTATTTATTTCTAAAATGATTATTTATTTGGAAGGCAGAAAACAGAAGTACACAGAGAGCACTCTCATTCACTGGTTCACTCACTAAATGCCTGCAATACCTGGGGCTGGACCAAAGCCAGGATCTGGGCACTCAATCCAGGTCTTCCATTTAGGTGGTAGGGAGCCAACTACTTGAACCATCACCTACTGCCTCCCAGGATGTGCATTAGCAGGAAGCTGGAATTGGGAATGGGATTTGAACCCAGGCACTCCGATATGGGATCAGGCATCCCAAGGTGGCTTAATGACCTGCCAGCCAAATGCCTGCCCTGGGGCTTTAAAATGAGGAGAGAGGGTTCTTGAAGGATTTAGAGAGAATGAGTTATATGATTACTCTGGTGTGAGAAAATATCAGTTTGATCCTTGGAGAATAGTCCAGATTACAGATGCTGAGGCCTGAATTAAGACTATAGCAGGGGAGATGGAGACAGGGAGGATGGCTGGTGTTAAAGAGATGCATCTGGCAGGATTTATTGACTATGTAGATTATTTATTTATTTATTTTTATTTATTTATTTATTTATTTATTTTATTTTATTTTATTTTTTGACAGGCAGAGTGGACAGTGAGAGAGAGAGAGATAGAGGGAAAGGTCTTCCTTTGCCGTTGGTTCACCCTCCAATGGCCGCTGCGGCCGGCGCGCTGCGGCCGGCGCACCGCGCTGATCCGATGGCAGGAGCCAGGAGCCAGGTGCTTTTCCTGGTCTCCCATGGGGTGCAGGGCTCAAGCACCTGGGCCATCCTCCACTGCACTCCCTGGCCACAGCAGAGGGCTGGCCTGGAAGAGGGGCAACCGGGACAGAATCCGGCGCCCCGACCGGGACTAGAACCCGGTGTGCCGGCGCCGCTAGGCGGAGGATTAGCCTAGTGAGCCGCGGCGCCGGCTTATTTATTTTTATTTTTGACAGACAGAGTGGACAGTGAGAGAGAGAGAGAGACAGAGAGAAAGGTCTTCCTTTTACCGTTGGTTCACCCTCCAATGGCCGCTGCGGCTGGCGCGCTGTGGCAGGCGCACTGCGCTGATCCGAAGCCAGGAGCCAGGTGCTTCCTCCTGGTCTCCCATGGGGTGCAGGGCCCAAGCACTTGGGCCATCCTCCTCTGCACTCCCGGGCCACAGCAGAGAGCTGGCCTGGAAGAGGGGCAACCGGGAAAGAATCTGGCGCCCCGACCGGGACTAGAACTCGGTGTGCCGGCACCGCTAGGTGGAGGATTAGCCTAGTGTGCCGCAGCGCCAGCCCTATGTAGAATTTTTTTAAAGATTTATTTATTTATTTGAAAGTCAGAGCTACACAGAGAGAGGAGAGGCAGAGAGAGAGAGGTCTTCCATCTGCTGGTTCACTCCTCAACCAGCTGCAGCGACTGGAACTGCATCGATCTGAAGCCAGGAGCCAGGAGCTTCCTCTGGGTCTTCCTAGGCGGGTGCAGGAGCCCAAGGACTTGGGCCATCTTCTTCTGCTTTCCAGGCCATAGCAGAGATCTGGGTCGGAAGTGGAGCAGCCCTGAGTCGAACTGGTGCCCGTATGGGATGCCAGCACTGTAAATGGCGGCTTTATCCACTACGCCACAGTGCTGGCCCCTGTAGATATTTTTTAAAATTTATTTATTTATTTGAAAGGCAGATTTATAGAGAGGCAGATAGAAAGAGGGAGGTCCTTCATCTGCTGGTTTGCTCCCCAATTGGCTGCAATGGTAGAACTGGGCCAATCCAAAGCCAGGAGCCAGGAGCTTCTTCCAGGTCTTCCACATGGATGCAGGGGCCCAAGGAGTTGGGCCATCTTCTACTGCTTTTCCAGGCCATAGGAGAAAGGTAGGTTGGAAATGGAGCAGCCGGGACTCGAATTGATGCCCATCTGGGATGCCGGCACCGCAGGCGGCAGCTTTACTTGCTGTGCCACAGTGTCCACCCCTACTATGTAGGTATTGAGATAGAAGAAAAGGAAGAAATCTAGTATAGTTCCCAGATTCCTATCTTAGGTCAGATTTCAGTCAGATACAGGTGGTGCTATTAACAAGAATGGAGAGTATAGGCAGAAGAGTAGTTTGGAGGATGGGAGAAGAAACCTTGGTGGTTATATTAGACATAATGAATTCAACAGACTACAGTGGGACGTCCAAATATGTTTATTCATCCAGTTTAGCTGTGTCCTGATGTGAAATTCAGAAGGGAGGTCTGTGCTAGAGGTGTGTCGCCTTGAAGATAGACAGGCAGTCATGCGAAGAAGATTATTCAGGCAGTGCTTTTAAATAAATGGGTGTAATAATTAACACATTAGGTTATTACAGAGGTTAAGCAAAGAATGTTCATGGGGGCAGCCATTTAGCCTAGAAGATCCTCATGTCCCATATTGGAGCACCTGGGGTTTGTACCAGGCTCCAACTCCTGATTCCAGCTTCTTGCTAAATGCAAACCCTGGGAGGCAGTGGTGATGACTCAGGTAATTGGGTTCCTGCTACCCATGTGGGAGACCTGAATTGAGCTCTCAGCTCCTGGCTTTGCCTGGCCCAGTCTTGGCCATTGTCGGCATTTGGGGTGTGGACTAGCAGATGGGAGCTTTCTCTTTTTCTCTCTCTCTCTCCACCCTCACCCCCCACCTCCCTCTCCCTCTCAAGTAAAAAGAAAGAAAAACAAAAGAAGAAAGATGGTATACCATGTTAGGTTATCTGAGTCCATTATGTGTAGAAATATCTTAGAACGATCTGTGATATATAACCTTCCTTAAGTGGTGCCTCTTGTTGACATCTAGTTACTTTCAGTATAATTTCTCTATCACCTTTTGAAAATTTGTTTATTTGAAAGTCAGAGAGAAAGAGATAGACAGGGAGAGATCTTCTATCCATCAGTTCACTTCCCAAATGCCTGTGATAGCCAGGACTGGGCCAGGCTGAAGCCAGTAGCCTGGAATTCACTCTTGGTCTCCTTGAGTTAAAGGGACCCAGGCATTTGAGCAATCATCTGTTACTTCCCACGGTGTGTATTAGCAGGAAGCTGGAATTGGAAACAGAGCCAGAACTCAAAACCAGGCTCTCCAATGTCAGATAAGGGTGTTCTCAGCGGTGTCTTTAACTGCTGTGCCAAATGTCTACTCTTTCTCTCTCTTTTCTCTCTCTCTCTCTCTTTCTTTCTCTCTCTCTTTCTTTCTTTCTTTCTCTCTCTCTCTTTCTTTCTCTTTCTCTCCCTCCCTCCCTGCCTTCCTTCCTTCTTCCTTCTTCCTTTTCTTTCTTCCCTTCCCTCCTCCTTCCCTCCCTCCCTGCCTTGCTCCCTCCCTCCCTCCCTCCCTCCCTTTCTCCCTTTCTCTCCTCTCTCTCTCCCCTTTCTTTCTCTCTCTCTCTCTTTCTTTCTTTCTCTTTCTCTCTCTTTCTTTCTCTCTCTCTTTCTTTCTTTCTCTCTTTCTTTCTTTCTCTCTCTCTCTCTCTCTTTCTTTCTTTCCTGTCAGAGTTAGCCAGAGAGAGAAGGAGAGGCAGAGACAGATCTTCCATCTGCTGGTTCACTCCCCAACTGGCTGCAATAGCCAGAGCTGTGCCGGTCAGGAGCCAAGAGTTTCTTCTGGGTCTCCCACATAGGTACAGGGGCCCAAGGAGTTGGGCCATCTTCTACTGCTTTCCCAGGCTGTAGCAGAGAGCTGGATCAGAAGTGGAACAACTGTGACTTGAACTGGTACCCATATGGGATGCACTGCAGGTGGCAGCTTTGCCTGCTCCACCACAGCACTGGGCCCTCTATTTCTTTCTGTTAGCCTTTGTTCATGTCAGTAGTTTGGTTATGGTACCTTATGAAATGCTAAAGTATTTTAAAAATGCTGGAAGGTCTAGATTCCAATAAACATCAACTTCTGTCATCAATATATAGATCTTCCTGTCTTGAACTGCCTGCTGATGTTAATGTTTAATCTTGTCAGAATAGACCCGTAATGTCTATAGCACAGTTGTCGATTGCTTTTTGTGGCACTGGCTGCTGAGCAGATCTGGGCAGCCTGAGCTTAAATACAGCAATGAACTAGTCAAAGCATTGATGTAGACTTGTATATTAATTTCATTTTTTTAAGATAGATTAAGACAAAATTTAACCCCATGCTGTGAATATTAATTTTTTCATGATTTATGTAGTTTGTTTATCGATGGACACTTTTACAACAGGATTTATGAAGCTGGGTCGGAAAACAACACGGCAGTTGTAGCAGTAGAAACTCACACGATACACAAAATTGAAGAAGGGATTGGTAAGCCTTTTTGTTACTCTAGTATCTCTGACTTTAGCCTCCTTGATTGAGATTTCTTGCCTTCTGTGCCTTTCATTTTTCTCCCTACCCAGAGTGCCCTGCCAATAGCACAGCTATCAGTTTGATGGTGGTGCATCGAGAGACACCACTGACTAAGATGCTGGGGCTCTCAGATTGTTTGATATCAATTTGCTAGGGTGGCTGAAAAGACTTTTTGTCTATAAAAATGCCAAAAAAGACTGGAGCTTCAAGGTTAATTCCTATCATTGGGGAAGTTGCTGATGAGGACTGTTGAAGTATTGACTGGAAGACAGATAGTAGAAAGAAACTGAAATTAAACAAACCTGACTTTAAATTCCATTTCTTACTTCTTAGCTGTGTGTCCTTAGGAGAGTCCCTTTATCTTTCTGAGGACCATTTACTTATATATAACAAAGGAAATAATCACTCCTTGACAGGATTATTGTAAAAAATAAGATTAAATGTGTAAAAGTGTGTAGTGGTGTCTGGCACATAGTGAGAGCTTGGTAAGAGATAGCTATGAAGCCAAATTTCCAGAGGACTCCAAAACAACATCAGCAAGAGAGGACTGTTACCCTACAGGGGACCTGGGAGACTAGAAACTGAATGTCAGCTTTAGGGAAGCATTGTTTGATAAATAACTGATACTTTTCCATTTTCAGATGCAAGCACCATAGAAGCAAATGAGGATATGGAAATTGCTTATCCCATAACTTGTGGGGAGAGCAAAGCCATTCTCCTATGGAAGAAGTTTGTATGTCCTGGAATAAATGTGAAGTGTGTCAAGGTAATTAGCTTATTTTTTTCATTTTAAAGATTTATTTATTTATTTGAAAGACAGAGTTACAGTGGGAGAGAGAGGGAGGGAGTAAGAGAATTTCCATTTGCTAGTTCACTCCCCAAGTGGCTGCAATGAACAGAGCCAAAGCCAGGAGCATGGAACTCCAGCAGGGACTCCCACATGGGTGACAGGTGCCTAAACACTTGGGTCATCTTCTGCTGCTCTCTCAGGTACATTAGCAGAGTGCTGGATTGGAAATGGAACAGCCAGGACTTGAACTGGCTCTCATATGGGATGTCAGAGTCCCAGGCAGCAGCTTAATCCGCTGTACCATGACAGCACCCCCGACTTGGATTTAAGTCCCACTAGAATATAAGTCCTATGAGAGGAAACTTATCTGTTTGTTCATTAGTTTATCCCTAGCACATAAATGTTGCTTGGTTGGGCCGGTACCGTGGCTCACTTGGTTAATCCTCTGCCTGTGGGGCCGGCATCCATATGGGCGCCGAGTTCTAGTCCTGGTTGCTCCTCTTCCAGTCCAGCTCTCTGCTGTGGCCTGGGAGGGCAGTGGAGGATGGCCCAAGTGCTTGGGCCCCTGCACCTGCATGGGAGACCAGGAAGAAGCACCTGGCTCCTGGCTTTGGATTGGAGCAGCGCCGGCCATAGCGGCCATTTGGGGAGTGAACCAACGGAAGGAAGACCTTTCTCTCTGTCTCTCCCTCTCACTGTCTATATCTCTATCTGTCTAATAAAAAAAAATGTTGCTTGGTGTATAGTAAGTGATCAATATTTTTTGAATCAGTGGAATCCCATCTGTCAGTGAAGTAGATTGGTGTCCTTAAACAGGTTATTTAATACATTAGAATCTTGGGGCTGATGCTGTGGTGTAGCAGATAAAGTCACTGCCTACAGTGCCTGCATTCCATATGGGTATCAGTTCAAATCCTGGCTGTTCCATTTCTGACCCAGCTCTGCTATGGCCTGGAAAAGTGGCAGAAATGGCCCAAGTCCTTGGACCCCTGCACCCATGTAGGAGACCTGGAAGACCTCCTGGCTCCTGACTTCAGATCAGCCCAGCTCTGGCTATTGTGGCCATTTGGGGAGTGAACCAGCAGATGGAAGACCTCTCTATGTCTGTAACTCTGCATCTCAAATAAATAAATCTTCAAAAAAGAATCAGCACCTCATGTATTAAAATGAAAATAATTGGGGCTGGCGCTGTGGTGCAGCAGGTAAAGCCGCCGCCTGCAGCGCCAGCATCCCATATGGACACCAGTTTGAGTCCCAGCTGCTCCACTTACAATCCAGCTCTCTGCTTTGGCTTGGGAAAGCAATAAAAGATGGCCTAAATCCTTGGGTCCCTGCACCCCTATGGGAGACCTGGATGAAGCTCCTGGCTCCTGCTTCGGATTGGCTCAGCTCCAGCTATTGTGGCCATCTGGGGTGTGAGCCAGCAGATGGAAGACCTCTCTCTCTGTCTGCCTCTCTCTCTCTAACTCTGCCTTTCAAATAAATAAATAAATCTTTATAAAAATGAGAATAATTATATATTATTAACACTCCATAGAGTCTTACAAGACTGCTAGGTTAAATACTGTATATAAAATGCCTCACACTGGTGTGCATTATGATAGTTTATTTGAAAATATTATTGATAAAAATAATCTTCATGAGAGCATAACGTAGAAATAATTGTTCATTCTGTGTCCATTGCTATGTATAGCCATATTTATAGATAGTAGTAACCATAGTGGCATCTTCTAATAGAGATTCCAGTTTTGAGGTTCTGCAGTACTAATATTGGTTTCTACCACACTTACTCTTCCACTACAACCTGAATCTTGTCTTCAGGGCTAGATACATTCCTTCCATTTATTTGGCCATCCTTTACAATGCTAGACCAACCACCTGCTTCAGGTCTATGTGGATTTTAGGTGCTAGTCAATGTGTTCATCACTCATCTTCCTGTGTGTTTCATAGCTTTATCAAGAAAGGGGACTGTGACTGTGCTCAGAGAAGGATTTTTTTTTTTTTTAAGATTCATTTATTTGTTTGAAAGGCAGAGTTACAGAGAGGCAGAGGCAGAGAGAGAAAGAGAGAGAGAGAGAATCTTCTATCTGCTGGTTCACTCCCCGCATGGCTGCAGTGGCTGGAGCTGTGCCGATCCAAAGCCAGGAGCCAGGAGCTTCTTCTGGGTCTCCCACACTAGTGCAGGGGACCAAGAACTTGAGCCATCTTCTGCTGTTTTCCCAGGTCATAGCAGAGAGCTGGATTGGAAGTAGAGCAGCCAGGACTCAAACCGGTGCCCATATTGGATGCTGGCACTGCAGGCAGTGGCTTTACCCACTAGCCACAGCGCCGACCCCAGGATCACCTTCTTTTGACACAACAGGACAGAGATTGTATAATACAGGACTGTGACTTGCAATGTCATCAGTGTATTTTTTGTACTTAATAAGTATAGCTAAGATGGACTATTTTGTATTTTTCTTTCTGCTTTAGTTCAATGATCAGTTGATCAGCCCCAAGCATTTTGTTCATCTGGCTGGAAAGTCTACCTTGAAGGACTGGAAGAGAGCCATTCGTCTGGGTGGAATCATGCTCAGGTAAGTACTATTGGTAAGCTCGAAACTGTTGAGAAACTGAGGCCGTCGCCGTGGCTCACTAGGCTAATCCTCTGCCTTGTGGCACCGGCACACCTGGTTCTAGTCCTGGTCGGGGCGCCGGATTCTGTCCTGGTTGCCCCTCTTCCAGGCCAGCTCTCTGTGTGGCCCTGGAGTGCAGTGGAGGATGGCCCAAGTGCTTGGGTCCTGCACCCCATGGGAGACCAGGAGAAGCACCTGGCTCCTGGTTTCGGATCAGCGCGATGCGCCAGCCGCGGCGGCCATTGGAGGGTGAACCAACGGCAAAGGTAGACCTTTCTCTCTGTCTCTCTCTCACTGTCCACTCTGCCTGTCAAAAAATAATAAAAAATAATAATAAAAAAAATAAAAAGAGAAACTGGAGCACTTGGTCATGGTTGATTGCAGTGTTTTCTGTTTTTTTTTTTTTTTTTTTTTTTATCTTTTATTTAATGAATATAAATTTCCAAAGTACGTCTCATGGGTTACAATGGCTTTCCCCCCCATACCGTCCCTCCCACCCACCACCCTCCCCTTTCCCACTCCCTCTCCCCTTCCATTGGGGCCGGCGCCGTGGCTCACTTGGTTAATCCTCTGCCTGTGGCGCCAGCAATCATATGGGTACCGGTTCTAGTCCCGGTTGCTCCTCTTCCAGTCCAGCTCTCTGCTGTGGCCTGGGAGGGCAGTGGAGGATGGCCCAAGTGCTTGGGCCCCTGCACCTGCACGGGAGACCAGGAAGAAGCACTTGGCTCCTGGCTTCGGATTGGCACAGCGCCAGCTGTAGCAGCCATTTGGGGAGTGAACCAATGGAAGGAAGTACCTTTCTCTCTCTCTCACTGTCTAACTCTGCCTGTCAAAAAAAAAAAAAAAAAAAAAGTAGAGAGAAAAGAGAGATCTTCCATCTGATGCTTCACTTCTCAAATCCCTGAAACAGCTGGGGCTGGGCTAGGCCAACACCAGGGCCTGGAACTCAGTTTGGGTCACTACATAGTTGGCAGGGACCCAAATACTTAAATACCTGTTGCCTCCCAAGATACATATTAGCGGGAAGCTGGGATTGGAAGTGGAGCTGGAACTTGAACCCAGCTGCTCAGATTTGAGATCTAGGCATCCCAAGAGGAGTTTGTGGGAATTCCTGCTTCCTGTCTTTTCTCTTTGATTTCATATTCTTGATTGGCTTGAACAATCCCTGAATTATTTATCTTCATCAGCTGTGTTTTATTATAATTTAATTATTTATTTGAAAAGCTAAAAAAAAATTTAAAAAAATTTTAAATATAAAAAAATAGGGGCTGGCACTGTGGTGCAGCGGGTTAAAGCCTGGTCTGAAATGCTGGCATCCCATATGGGCACCAGTTCTAGTCCCAGTTGCTCTTCTTCGGATCCAGCTCTCTGCTATGGCCTGGGAAAGCAGTAGAAGATGGCTCAAATCCTTGGGCCCCTGCACCCACTTGGGAGACCCGGAAGAAGCTCCTGGCTCCTGACTCCTGGCTTCAGATCAGCACAGCTCTGGCCATTTGGGGAGTGAACCACTGGATGGAAGACCTCTCTCTCTGTCTCTAACTCTCTGTAACTCTATCTTTCAAACAAATAAAATAAATCTTTAAAAAACTATATAAAAAAATAAAGAGAGGCCGGCGCCGCAGCTCACTAGGCTAATCCTCCACCTGTGGCGCCGGCACCCCGGGTTCTAGTCCCGGTCAGGGCGCCGGATTCTGTCCTGGTTGCTCCTCTTCCAGTCCAGCTCTCTGCTGTGGCCCGGGAAGACAGTGGAGGATGGCCCAAGTGCTTGGGCCCTGCACCCACATGGGAGACCAGGAGGAAGCACCTGGCTCCTGGCTTCAGATCAGCGCAGCGTGCCAGGCATGGCAGCCATTTGGGGGGTGAACCAACGGAAGGAAGACCTTTCTCTCTGCCTCTCTCCCATTGTATAACTCTGCCTGTAAAAAAAAAAAAAAAAAAAAAAAAGAGGCAGAGGCAAATGGCCAAATGACTGCAAAGGCCAGAGGTAGGCTGATCTGGAGCCAGGAGCTTCTTCTGGGTCTCCCACACGTGTGCAGAGGCCCAAGCACTTGGGCCATCTTCTACTGTTTTCCCAGGCCATAACAGAGAGCTAGATTGGAAGTGGAGCAGCTGTGACTTGAACCAGTGCCCGTGTGGGATGCTTGCAATGCAGGCCCCAGTCAGCTTGTTTTTAAGATCCCTGGGGGAGCGGGAAGCATGTGGCACAGCAATTAAGTTGCTACTTGGAATACCTACAGACCATATCAGAGTGCCTATTTTCAGTCCTGGCTACTCTGCTTCCAGTCCAGCTTCTTGCCACAGTTGTGGGAGACGTAGTTTGAGTCCTGGGCTCTTGGCTTCATCCTGGCCCAGTCCTGGTTGTTGTGGGCATTTAGGGTGTAAACCAGCAGATGGAAGATTTCTTTCCATCTCTCTTTCTCTCTCTCTTTGCCTTTCAAAAGAAAAAGAAAATAGGGGCTGGCACTGCAGTGTAGGGGGTAAAGCTGCCGCCTGCAGTGCCGGCATCCATATGGGCGCCAGTTCTAGTCCCGGCTGCTCCACTTCTGATCCAGCTCTTTGCTATGGCCTGGGAAAGCAGTAGAAGATGGCCCAAGTGCTTGGGCCCCTGCACCCACTTGCGAGGCCCAAAGGAAGCTCCTGGCCCCTGGCTTCATATCAGCCCAGCTTCGGCCTTTGCAGCCATTTGGGGAGTGAACCAGCGGATGGAAGACCTCTCTCTTTCTCTGCCTCTGCCTCTCTGTAACTTTGCCTTTCAAGTAAATAAATCTTAAAAAAAAAAAAAAAAAAAAATTAGAAATGCCTCAAAGTTTCTGGGAAAAGGACAGGTGTTGTGACACAGTGGATTAAGCTATTGCTTGTGATACATGCATCCTGTATTGTATGGGATTGACTTCTGCCTCTGCTTTTCATCCAGCTCCCTGCAAATGGGCACCCTGGGAAGCAGCAAGTGATGGCTCAAGTATTTGGGTAGCTGCCACCCACATGGGAGACCTGGATGGAGTTCCTGCCTCCTGGCTTTAGCATGGCCCAACTCCAACTATTGCCCACATATGGGGAATGAATCTGTGGATAGAAGATAATCTCGGCCGGCGCCGTGGCTCACTAGGCTAATCCTCCGCCTTGCGGCGCCGGCACACCGGGTTCTAGTCCCGGTCGGGGCGCTGGATTCTGTCCCGGTTGCCCCTCTTCCAGGCCAGCTCTCTGCTGTGGCCAGGGAGTACAGTGGAAGATGGCCCGAGTACTTGGGCCCTGCACCCCATGGGAGACCAGGATAAGTACCTGGCTCCTGCCATTGGATCAGCGTGGTGCGCCAGCCACAGCGCGCCAGCCATGGCAGCCATTGGAGGGTGAACCAATGGCAAAGGAAGACCTTTCTCTCTCTCTATTTCTCTCTCTCACTGTCCATTCTGCCTGTCAAAAAAAAAAAAAAAAAAAAAAAAGAAGAAGATAATCTCTTTCTCTCTGTCTCTGTCTTTCTGCCTTTCAAATAAACAAAGTTAAAAAAAAAAAAACCTGTGAGAAAAGGGAGATTGGATTGAATTAATTCTTCTCAGCTCCAAGACAGATATTTTGGGTGTCAGGATATTGGGTGTGATGTTTAGGCAAAGAAGCTGCTGAGGAGGAGATGACGGTTCTACCTGGGATCAACACGCAGAGGCAGGGCTGTGCATAATAAACATGGAGAAGTGTAGGCTAACTGACAAATCCAGGGAGATGAGTAGAAGAGTGTTGTTGATAAATAACAATTATACATAATGAGTACAGTCCTTGTCATCACTGTGCCACAGATACAAACTCAGAATTATGTCAGATCCCCTCTCCTAACCCTTGGCATGCAATAAGCTTACATGTATTTTTCTTCTTTTTCTTTTTTTTTTTTTTAAAGCAATCTTACTTGATATTTGTTGAGCATAGAAAAATTTTTTTTAAAGATTTATTTATTTATTTGAAAGAGTTACACAGAGAGAGGAGAAGCAGAGAGAGAGAGAGGTCTTTCATCTGCTGGTTCACTCCCCAATTGGCTGCAATGGCTGGAGCTGAGCCGATATGAAGCCAGGAGCCAGGAGCTTCTTCCGGGTCTCCCACATGGACGCAGGGGCCCAAAGACTTGGGCCATCTTCTACTGTTTTCCCAGGCCATAGCAGAGAGCTGGATCGGTAGTGGAGCAGCCAGGTCTCGAACTGGCGCTCATATGGGATGCCGGCGCTTCAGGCCAGGGCTTTAACCCACTGCGTCTAGGCCAGCCCCTAGAAAATTTTAAAATGTGGTTAAAATGAAAAGTTCTGGACCTAAAAGAATGAAAAGCTTTCCATAAAACATCTATGTAGAGCCTTAACACATCTTTTCTTTTTCTTTTTTTTTTTTTTTAAGATGTATTTTAGGCAGAGTGAGAGTGAGAGAATGAGAGAGGTTGAGATTGAGAGATCTTGCTTCCACTAGTTAACTCCCCAAATGCCTGCAACAGCCAGGCCTGAGCCAGAACTAACCCCAGAGCAGGAACTCTATCCAGGTCTCCCATGTGAATGGCAGGGGCTCAACTACTTGGGCCATCCTTTGTTGCTTTTCTCAGGTACATTATTGGGTAGCAGGACCAGAAGCAGAGATGCCCCAGCACTCAAACTAGTGCGTCAATATGGAATGTGGCATCAAAGGTAGTGGCTTAACCTGCTATACCACAATGCCACCCCCAAAAACGTCTTTTCTTCATAAATTTTTATTTGAAAGGCAGACAGATAGACTGAGTGAGCTCTCTTCTGCTGGTTGACTTCTCAAATGCCTGCAATGGCTGGGTCTAGGGTGGGCCTTTTTTTTTTTTTTTTAAACTCAATCTGGGGCTCATTTATAAAAATTTTTTTCACTTTATTCTTTTGAAAGAGAGAGAGACACACACAGACTGTGCTCCCATCTACTGATTCACTCTTCAAATGCATGCAATATCTGGAACTGGGCTGGCTTGAAGCCAGGAGCTGGGAACTCAGTCTGGGTCTCCCACATGAGTGGCAGGGACCCACTTAAGCCTGCTGCCTCCTGGGCTGCACATTAACAGAAAGCTGGAATCTTAGGAGCAGAGCTGAGACTTGAACTCCCATATGGGATGTAGGCATCCCAAGGGATATCATAACTGCTATGCCAAAACCTTGCCCCCAGATCCAGAAACTCATTCCAGGTCTCCCATGTGAGTGTCAGAAATCCAATTATGTGAGCTATAATTGCTGCCTCCCAGTGTCTGAATTAGCAGGAAGATGGACTGTGGAATTGTAATTGAATCCAGGTACTCCACTAAGGGATGTGAATGTCTTTAAAAAAATTAATTAATTAATTAATTTTATTTGAAGAGTAGAGAGAAGAGAGATAGGCAGAGAGAAAGGAGGAAAGATCTTCCACTCACTGGCTCACCCACCATGTACGTGTACATGTACATGGAATAGCCAGGTCTGGGCCAGTTGAAGTCAGGAGCCCAGAACTGAAATCGAGTTTCTTATGTGGGTGACAGAAACCCAAGTACCTGAGCCACCACTTGCTGATCCAGGGTTCCCATCACTAGGAAGCTGGATCTGAAGTGGAAGGCACTCTGACATGGGATGCAGGTGTCCCAACCAGCATCTTAACCACTGTGCCAAATGTGTTCCCTGGGATGTAAGTATCTAAACTGTGAAGCTGAATGCTTGCCTTTTTAAAAACATCTTTTGTCTTGGCCGGTGCCGTGGCTCACTTGGCTAATTCTCCACCTGTGGCGCCGGCACACCGGGTTCTAGTCCCGGTCGGGGCACCAGATTCTTTCCCAGTTGCTCCTCTTCCAGGCCAGCTCTCTGCTGTAGCCCGGGAGTGCAGTGGAGGATGGCCCAACTGCTTGGGCCCTGTACCCCATGGGAGACTAGGAGAAGCACCTGGCTCCTGGCTTCGGATCAGCGCGGTGCGCCGGCCACAGTGCGCCGGCCGTGGCGGCCATTGGAGGGTGAACCAACGGCAGAGGAAGACCTTTCTCTCTGTCTCTCTCTCTCTCACTGTCCACTCTGCCTGTCAAAAAAAAAAAAAAAAGCAATTGTTTTCTTTATAGTTTTTTGCATTTTCCACAGAAATTGTTAAATGTTTTCTTCATGTATTATTTTTTCATCAGAGACACGTGAATATTTTTTAAAACATTGTTTTCAGATCATTTGAATGCAGAAATCAACAGCTGAATGAAATTGGGGAGGAATGCTTCTTTCATTTGTGCTGCTCTTAGCGTGTTTTTGTCTGCCCAGAAACACAAGCGTATGCGTTTTCCGCATATGTAATAAGGAATTAGAATGATTAAAATTTTCATCTTTAATCAAAGCCAAGTGACATAACACAAAGTTTACTATAATTAAAATACTCCGTGGTTTTTGCAAGTATCTTGTACGTGCAGTTATGAGGACATTTTCCAGAGGGGAGGCGGTGGAGTTAACACAATCAACTTTGCTCTGTATTTCTGAGAGTTGTTACCTTTTTTTGTTGTTGTAAATGGAAAGACATCTGCTGAATCTTCATGTTTCTAAGCATGGTATCAGATCTTGTTGGTCTGGAAAACTAATATAACAGAATCTCATCACAAAATTCCAATTTCCCTCTGGTGTTTCTCAGTTGTGCTAGTTTTTTCTCCTTTCAAGTTTGGTTTCAGTAGGGAAACTTAGCTGCTAACAGGAGTGTATGCCTGAGATTTGGAGATAGTGGGTAGTAGAAAGGAGTACTTCATAATGAGTAAACTTGAGAGAGAAGCAGAGCACTGGTAAATGCAGACAGGACCAATGAAAATTTTATAGTCCCAATTAAAAGTTTTGCAACCTAATGACTTCTGATACTTTTAGGTTTCACTAATTGAGAAAGTGAACTCAGCCATGTTGTCCCTCTTTGTCTCTGTAGATGAGGTACAGGGTGAACTGTACTTCTTGTCTCCCTTTGCACAGGAAAATGATGGACTCTGGACAGATTGATTTTTACCAACACGACAAAGTTTGCTCCAACACCTGCAGAAGCACCAAATTTGATCTTCTCATCAGCAGTGCAAGAGCTCCAGTGCCAGGACAGCAGACAAGTGTGGTGCAGACACCCACTTCGGCTGATGGTAGGGGGTAGGAAACCACCTGAAAACCCACCGTATTCCTTAGCAGCACCTCCCCTTCATTCTCCATTGTGTTTTTTAGTTTCAAATCTTGGGAGCCTTGACGGGCCTTGTAAGGTATGGTAGTCTAGGGTGGGATTCCATGCTTTGGAAACAGAGCTCTTCATTTTCCCCCAGATGAGTCTTCCTTCCTTCTTTCTCACAAAGCATGGTTAAGCATTAGAAAGATGGGTCAGTAGTTAGAATGCTTATTCAGTAGTCTTACTTGGCATATCATGGTTGAAATTAGACTGTTTTGAAAATCTTTTGCTCTATTAGTGCTCAAGGTAGATTAGAATGATGAATCTTTGCTTTGTCAAAGACAGTGTATCATTGGCTGGGCTAGACTGTGGAGACCTTGTTATATGGCTTGGAGTGCTCTGGACTAACGCCAGATTACAAAGCTGTGGCTTCCTCACAAAAGAAACAAGATGGGCACACGTTCAAGTCAATATGGGCAGGACCTTGGGATGGGGCTCCCTACCATACAGGAAAGATGGACCCAGGTGGGAGATTATTATGAAGGCTTCAGTTAGTCCGGCTGGAGACTTACCAGTTTGGGAAAATGTGTTTTATCTGTTGTCGTAAGATTTACAAGTGTGCCTGACAGTCACAAGAGTGCTACAGAGTCTGAAAGGGCAGGGAAAACTGTGCTTTAAAAATGACCTCTTGAGTTTTCTTTTGGTGAACTCTAACATTCTGCGGGTAACCACTGGATGAGTAGAAACTAATCTCTTGGAACCTAAACCCCTTTCAGGAAAGTATGTACAAATATCTACCAGTTTCAATTTTTGGACCCTTGACTTTTTCACTTGAAAAGTAAAAAATGTTGTGAAATTATTTGCTTCCTTTTTATTTGACCAAAACTCCTTTACTTGATTATCCATATTGATATTGCTTTGCTTGTTTATTGGTATGCTCGAGTGTAGATTCCACACTTGTCTGTACTGCTGTCTAGATCAGTTTGATTTTTCTCAATTCTCTTTGTTTTAGATCTTGGTATGCAATTGATAGCAAACAGGTTTTTTGCTTCTGTACATCTATTGATGAATTTATTACCTAATTTTTTTGTTGCTGTTGTTCTCCATTTCTCTGCTTTCCCTTTTGTAGAGAAAAAATCAGAAAGTGTTTTTTTGTTTTTGTTTTCTGTTTTTTTTTTTTTTTTTTGGAAGGAAGGATTTCTTTAGAAGATCTTCACCTAGAAGTCTAATTGTATTTCTGTGGCTATGAGTATGAGAACAGAAGATAGCTGTGATTTTTTAATAGAGTTTCCTGGCCTCACCTCTGGTGGACTACTTCTAGGTAGCGTCACACAGATTGCCATCTCAGAAGAGAGCATGGAGGAGGCAGGGCTGGAGTGGAACTCTGCTCTCACCGCTGCAGTCACCATGGCCACAGAGGAGGGTGTAAAGAAAGACTCAGAGGAAATCTCAGGTACTTTCTATGGGGCTCAGATGCCTTGCTGGTTTTATGACTCTTACTGCCATCGTGATTGTGGACACAGATCTCTTGATTACTTTCATGGTCTTTCTCATGAATGTGAATACTAACTATAGCCACAAACCTTTTATTCTAATCCATGCAACAGCCTTGCAAAGTCACATTTTTGTGAAGAAATCAGGATTCAAGAAGGTTCAGTCATTTGCCTTAGCTTAGAACAGTTGCACAACCCATAAGTGTCAGAGTGAATTGCACTGTTTGACTCTGTCCTCTGTGCTTTTCATACAGTCAGATTGCCTCTCACATTTCTTAGCTACACCAGGCTTTTAAAGGTTAGAAGGAAAAACTGGTAGCAGGCAGCATGACAGGATGGTGATTAATGATGATTCATTAGAGGAAATTATCCCTCTAAGATGAACCTTCATTATTCTCTTCGTAGTTCATTTTAAAAAATTATTTTAACTTATTAATTAATTCAGTAAGTATTGTTACCTATTTTTAGTTGGCGCTGTTGCTAGGTATTAGCCACTAGGTACACAGATTAAAAGACATCGTCCCCATCCTCAGCACGCTATCACTAAACCTATCCCAACTGTGTTGTTTCCTCAAGTATAGGATGACGGGAAGTACATCTCTTAATTAATATTTAATTTAATGTCTGTATTCTTTAACTTGTATAATATTGAATATTATCTAATTTTAAATTAAATTTGAATTTAATTAAATAGTGATAAATATTTAATGTTTGCTTAATATTTAATTTAATACCTTTGTTGGAGGAAGATGTTGTTCTTGTAACAAGAGTCATGACAAATTGAGGCAATTAGGTATCAACTTAGGGAGGCAGTTAGTGTTCCAGACTCCTTCCCTTTTCTCAGCAATGGCTGACAAGAAGCCTTTTGAACTGAACTGATTTTAAATGTAACATTGCAGAGGTGTGGCATCCTTTACTTACCTTGTCTTGTTCCTCTTGTGCCAGAGGACACTTTGATGTTCTGGAAAGGAATAGCTGACGTGGGGCTGATGGAAGAGGTTGTCTGCAACATACAGAAGGAAATAGAGGAGCTGCTCCGGGGAGTTCAGCAGCGGCTCATCCAGGCTCCTTTCCAGGTCACAGGTAGGTGCACTAGTCCTAACAATAGTGGTCATTTATTGAACGCAGGTAGGTCCTGTTAGCGTTATAACAACTATGAGGTGTGGTTATTAATATCTTCATTTTGGGGCCAGTGTTGTAGCATAGAGGGTAAAGCTGCTACCTGCGATGCTGGCATCCCATATGGGCCCTGGCTGTTGCGAGCATTTGGGGAATGAACCAGTGATTGGACAATCTCATTCTGTCTCTGTCTCCCTGCCCTTTAAATAATTAAAAATAATTTAAATTAAAAAGTTTTAAAGATACACTAGATATGTCTTTAGTCATTGTAAGAGATCTTAGAGGACCCTGAATCCAGTGCTTTATTCTTCTCTTCTGTGCTGGTGAAGGCATAGCATGATGATTTTGAGCAGAGGAGTGAAGTGGTCAGATTTATATTTTTATTCTTTTTCATATTTATTTTGAAAGGCAAAGCAAGAGAGACAGAGACAGAGAGAAAAAGGAAGGAAGGAAGGAAAGGCCAGAGGGATCTTCCATCTACTAGTTTACCCCCAAACGCCTGTAACAGCCAGGGCTGGGCCAGGCTGAAGCCAGGAACCAACAACTCCATGTGGTCTTCCATGTGGGTGGCAGGGATCCAGGTACTTGAGTCATCACCTGCTGCCTCCCATGGTGTGTATTAGCAGGACGCTGGATTGCAAGCAATGGTGAAACTCGATTCAGGATACTGCAGTATGGAATGTGGACATCCCAAGCGGCAGCTTAACCTGCTGTGCCACACCAACCTCCCCAGACTTATGTTTTTAAATGTTGGTGACACAAGAGTAGAAACAAGAAGACCAATTAGGAGATTCTTGAAGGACTTAGTCCCAGCAAGAGACGTGTACAGTGTACGTGGAAAGAAGTATTCAGATTGGGATTTATTTTGAATGTGGAGCTGACAAATCTTGCTGATGGATTGAATATAGGATGAAAGAGAAAGAAAGACATCTAGAACAACTCATAAAGTTTTGGCCTGAGCTGTGAGTGGTAATAGCATTTATTGAGATAAAGAACACTTGGGGGGGGGGCAGGGCGGGGGCAACAGCGCTGTGGTGCAGTAGGTTTATTCTCCTCCTGCAGTGCCGGCATCCCATATGGGCAGCAGTTCTAGTCCTGGTTGCTCCTCTTCCAGTCCAGCTCTCTGCTGGGGCCTGGGAAAGCAGTGGAGGATGGCCCAAGTGCTTGGGTTCCTGCAGCCGCATGGGAGACCAGGAGAAGCACCTGGCTCCTGGCTTCAGATCAGCTGAGCTCTAGTCATTGCATCATTTGGGAGTGATGGGATGGAAAACCTCTCTCTCTGGCTCTACCTCTTTCTGAAACTTTCTCTTTCAAATAAATAAAATAAATCTTAATAAATAAATAAATAAAAATCTAACTTTCTAAAAAAATTAGTTTTGTTTATTTGAAAGGCAGATTTACAGAGAGAGAGGGGAAAAGACAGAAACAGAGAGAGAGAAACAGAGAGAGAGAGCCTCTGTCTGCTGGCTCACTCCAGAAATGGCCACAGCTCTGGGCCAGGCTGAAGCCAGGAGCCAGGATCTTCATCCAGATTTTCCAAGTGGGTGCAGGGGCCCAAGGATTTGGGCTGTCTTCTGCTTTCCCAGGAGCATCAGCAAGGGTGCGGGATCAGAGGTGGAGCAGTCAGGATGCTGGTGTTGCAGGTGATGGCCTGACTGGCTGGGCCCCAGCGCCAACCCCACAACATTGTCTTACAATGTGGGAGACATTGGCTTCAACTCCCCAAATTAGTTTTTGACCTGTCAAATTGAGATGACTATGAGGCCTTCAGATGGAGTTGGCACTCCAGCTTGACAGAAATATGAATGTGGGTCCAGCGCTGTGGTGTATTTGTCCAGCAGATAGAAGATCTGTGTGTGTGTGTGTAACTCTGCCTTCCAAATAAAGTAAAATAACTCTTAAAAATAAGAATGTGGAATGTAGGAAAGAGGTTAGGGCCAGAGAACTATATGAAGTTCTCAGTAGGTATATATTTAAAACCATAGAACTGAAAAAGCAAAAAACAAAACAAAACAAAAAAACAGGGGCCTACACTGTGGCATGGTGGGCGAGGCTTCCACCTGCAGTGCCAGCATCCCATATAGGCACCGGTTCGTGTCCCAGCTGCTCCTCTTCCAACCAGCTCTCTGCTGTGGCCTGGAAAAGCAGTAGAAGATGGCCCAAGTGCTTGGGCTCCTGCACCCACGTGGGAGACCTAGAAGAAGCTCTTGGCTCCTGGCTTTGAATTGGCGCAGCTCCAGCAATTGTGGCCATTTAGGGAGTGAACTAGAGGATGGAAGACCTTTCTTTCTGTCTCTCGCTCTCAAAAAAATGAAAAATAAATAAAATCAAACAAAAAAACACCATAGAACTTGGTGAGATGACTATCGACATGGAGTGTAAGTGAAGTGATCCTAGTTAAGGACGTAATGACCACAAATACAGCTCTGAAGATATTTTGTATAGTGGGGAGCAGAGATAATATCATTAATATAATAGTGTATACCGCTCCCCATGTTTGGCACTTAAAATGGTATTTCTAATCTTCATATCTATTTTTCAGAGTAACATTAGTCCCATTTGTTTCAGATGAGAAAACAGTGAAATGAGTTACACAAGGTCACAGAGATAGGGAATAGCAAAACCAGTTCAAATTTAACTGTATATAGTACAGTGACCATGTTTTCTTATTTTTTTTAAAGATTTATTTATTTGTTTGAAAGAATTACACGGTGGGGGGGGGGGGGGGGAGAGGTCTTCCATCTTTTACTCCCCAGATGGCTGCAACAACTGGAGTTGCACTGATCCAAAACCAGGAGCCAGGAGCTTCTTCCAGGTCTCCCACATGAGTGCAGGGGCCCAAGGAACTGGGCCATCCTCTACTGCTTTCCCAGGCCACAGCTGAGAGCTGGATCAGAAATGGAGCAATCGGAATTCTTGAACCAGTGCCCCCTGGGATGCACCACAGGTGGTGGCTCTACCCGCTATGCCACTGTGCCAGCCCCATGTTTTCTTATTTTTAAAAACTAAGATTATAGCCCTTAGGGTCAGTGTTGTGGCATAGTGGTAAAGCTGCTGCCTATGGCACTGGCATCCCATATGGGTGCCAGTTTGAGACCCAGTGCTCCACTTCCAATCCAGCTCATTGCTAATGTGCCTGGGAAAGCAGCAGAAGATGGCCCAAGTGCTTAGGCCCCTGCACCCATGTTGAAGACCAGGGATAACTTGCTCCTGACTCCTGGCTTTGGCCTGTCCCAGCCCCGGTTGTTGCAGCCATTTGGGGAGTAAACCAACAAATGGAAGATCTCTCTCTCTCTCTCTGTCTCCTGTCTGTGTAACTCTGATTTTCAAATAAATAAATAAATAAATCTTTTTAAGAATACCTCACCAGAAAACTCTTAAAATAAAAGATTTTTAATGTAATTATTTATTTGTTATTTGAAAGAGAGAGAGAAAAAATGGCTCTTCCATCAGCTGGTTGACTCCCCAGATGCCTGCAACAACTAGGGCTGTCTCCCAGGTATTCATTTGCAAAAAGCTGAAACTTGAAGCACAACCAGGATTTGAACCCAGGCATTCCAGTATGGGATGCTGGTGTCCCGAGTGATGTGTTAACTGCTGTGCCCAATGCCTGGTCCCGTGACTGTTTTCTAGACTAAAGTCAGAACCTACAACCAGTTGCAAGATGTTTTCGGATTTATATGTAAAGACTTGCAGAGATATAACAAATCAGTTAGTTCTACATGTGATAAATCTTTGTAAAAAATTTATTAAAATGCAGTTAGAGTCCCATAATCTCTGAGTTATATTTACTAATAGCACAAAAGGAAGGTTTAACATTACAAGCATGTCTTTTATTTTAAATAGATGCCGCTGTTCTCAACAATGTAGCACATACATTTGGCCTAATGGACACAGTCAAGAAGGTTTTGGACAACAGAAGGAACCAAGTAGAGCAAGGGGAAGAGCAGTTTCTCTATACTCTGACAGGTGTGTATAAGTTGTCTTTCTTCTTAGGTAATATTATGCTAGTATTCTTGAATCTTGTCATTTCCTTGTTGACTTTCACTGGAATTGACATTTTTTTAAAAAATTTACGATGTCAGATTTTGTTTTTTAAAATAAAGAGCTACAGGTGAGGAGTGGTGGGAAACAAAGGAGAAAAGAAGCCAGCCTCATGGTCCTCCTTCTGTGTTCTGTGGAGGATTAAGTGTCTGCTGTTTCTCCATGAATCCAGAAATGTCGGGATCTTTTTTACATTTTTGCTACTGCTTCTTGTGGTAGATAGAAATTTAGCACCTACTCCATTATTTCTGGTAATCAGAAATCAGAGCACATGGATAATGTAATTATTTTCTATTAACTATTTTATGCTAGTCTCCAAGCTGAGTTTTAGAAATATATTATTGAGTAAGGTAGCCTCTGTCTTTTCAAGAAACCTAAGGGGAAGCAGATCCAGAAACGCAGAGTCTGACAGAATGTATAATGAGTGTGATGGAGTTTTTTTTGGTGTTTTTTTTTTTTTTTTTTTTGACAGGCAGAGTGGACAGTGAGAGAGAGAGAGAGAGAGGAAGGTCTTCCTTTGCCGTTGGTTCACCCTCCAGTGGCCGCTGCGGCTGGTGTGCTGTGGCCAGCGCACCGCGCTGATCCGAGGCAGAAGCCAGGTGCTTCTCCTGGTCTCCCATGGGGTGCAGGGCCCAAGCACTTGGGCCATCCTCCACTGCCTTCCCGGGCCACAGCAGAGAGCTGGCCTGGAAGAGGAGCAACCAGGACAGAATCGGCGCCCAACCGGGACTAGAACCCGGTGTGCTAGCGCCGCAGGCGGAGGATTAGCCTATTGAGCCGTGGCGCCAGCCATGATGGAGTTTTCATTTGACCCTGGAGAGAATCAAGAGAAGGTTTTGGGGGCAGGAAGCCAGGTGAAACATACGAATCAAGTCAGAAGTATGCACTGTTAGTGTTTAGATAATATAGAATGTGATGTAGTTAGTCATGAAGCCAACAGGAAAGATCGTTCGGCAAGAGAAGGATAATTTAAGTTGTTTTAAACTTATTTTTAAATTTTTTGATTAATTTATTTACTTGAAAGACAAAGAGATAAACAGAGATCTCCTATCCACTGATTAATTCGCCACGTGCCTGCAACAGCAGGCGCTGGGCCAGGTGAAAGTCAGGCGTCCAGAGTTCCATCTGGGTCTTCCACATGGGCGGCAGGAACTCAGGTAGCCGAGCTCTCACCTGCTACCTCCAAGGATGCACGTTAGTTAGAAGCTGGAATGAGAGCAGAACCAGGATGCAAACCCAGGGACTCTGATCTGGGACCTGGGTGTCCCAAGCAGCATCTTAAGTTCTAGGTAAGTAACTGCCCTGAAGCTTATTTTTATACCTAGACAAGACAAAGAAAGCAAGCTCCCATCTGCTAGTTCATTAACCTTGTACCTTCAACAGCTTCCAGCTGAAGCTGCAGCCAGGAAGACCTGGAACTCAATACAGGTCTCCCACATGGGTGTCGGGAACCTTATTCCCTTGAGCCATCACCACTGCCTCCCAGCGTCTGCATTAGTAGGAGACTAGTCAGGAATTGGAGTCAGTTATCAAACCTAGGACCCTAGTTTATATTTTAAACTCCATTTACTGAGTTTTGACCCCCCGAAGAATGCTAGGATGGGGATTCATTTTTTTTCTAAAGATTTATTTTTATTTCAAAGAGTTACAGAGAAGGAGACACACAGAGAGAAAGAAAGAGAGATTTTTTTTTTTAATGTGTATTTATGTTATTTGAAAGGCAGAGTTAAGAGAGAAGGGGAGAGAGAGAGAGATCTTCCATCTGCTGGTTTACTTACCAAAGGACCACAGTGACCACAATGACTGGGCCAGACCAAAGCCAGGAGCCAGGAGCTTCTTCCTGGTCTCCCACCTGGGTGCAGGGGCCTAAGCACCTGAGCTATCTTCTACTGTCTTCCCCAGGCCGTTAGCAGGGAGCTGGATGGGAAATAGAGCAGCCAGTTCTCCAACTGGCTCCCAGGTGGGATGGATGCCAGCGCTGCAGATGGCAGCTCAACCCACTACACCACAATGCCAGCACTGACAATTTATATTTTACTGATGACCCATTAGAGGAACTGAGAGAAAAAATGACTTGCCTAGGCCATATCACACTGGACAGAGAAGGCCAGAGTAGAACTCTGTCATCTTCATTAAATCCAGTGCTTTTCTTTCACATGAAAAAACCATCAGAAAAATGTTTTTTTGTTAGAAATGTTGGCTTCTTGGTCCCTGTCCATACTGTCTTTTTAGTTTTAGCTACAATATACATAACGTTTTGTTGCAACACAGTACTTTACCTGGACAGTTATCTAGGAATGACATTTAAATTTTCCAAGTTTCCTTCAGTAACTTACTTTGTTGCAGTCAGTTTGTTTTACTATAATTTTTAAAATGTCATTCTCAACTGTTTCCCAAGACTAAGTTTAAGGTTAAATGGTATTGTTAAATTTTTTTAGATTGATTTATTTATTTGAAAGGCAGAGTGAGAGAGAGAAATCTTCCACTTGCTGGTTTACTCCCAAAATGGCTACAACAGCCAGGGCTGGACCTGGCTACAACTAGAAGCCAGAAACTCCATCCAGGCCTCCCATGTGGGTGACAGGGGCCCAAACACTTGTGCCACATTCCACTACCTTCCCACGTACATTAGCAGGAAGCTGGATTGGAATCAGAATTCTAACCCTCACTCTGATATGGAATGCTGGAGTTACAAGTGGCAGTTTAACCTGCTTTGCCACAACAGCAGCCCCTCAGTGCTATAATCTTAGGGATTTCCTCTGCAACTTTGCATCGACTTCTCTGGGCTAGTAGTAGACTGTGACTGCATTTTCAGCAAAGATTTTTAGCCAGTGCAGCAAGGTAAGCTTGCTTGGAAGGCAGTTGGAGAACCATTGTATTTCAGACTAGCCATTGTGGTAGCTTCTTTGTAGTCCATGGCAGTTCCAAAAGGATTAGGCAGATATTCCTTATTTTCACTTATAGACCATGCAGGGCATATTCAAGCTATAAGAGGTTTCTTTGGTTCACATTTTTAAAAACTTTAATTTATTTTATCTATTTGAAAGAGAGACTGAGATTACCTATCTGCTAGTTCACTCCCCAAATACCTGTTACAGCTGGGGCTTGACCAGACCAAAGCGAGGAGCTGGTAACTCAATCCAGGTCTCCCATATGGGTGGCAGGGACGCAAGTACTTGAACCATCACCTGTTACCTCCAAGGGTACACATTAGCAGGAAACTAAAATCAGGAATAGAGCTGGGACTTAAACCCAGACACTCCCATATGGGACGTAGGCCTCCCAAGCAGTGTCTATTTATTTATTTATTTGAGAAGCAGAGGGAGAGACAAAAAGGTCTTCCGTCTGCTGGTTCACTCCCCAAATGGCCACAACAGCCAGAGCTGGGCTGATCTGAAGCCAGGAGCCGAGAGCTTCTTCCAGGTCTACCATGCAGGTGCAGGGGCCCAAGCACTTGGGCTTTTTGCTGCTTTCCCAGGCCATAAGCAGAGAGCTGGATTGGAAGAGGAGCAGCTAGGACACAAACCAGTGCTCATATAGGATGCTGGTACTGCAAGCAGACGCTTAGCCCACTATACCACAGCGCCGGCCCCCTAGGCAGTGTGTTAACCACTATACCAATCATCCACCCTTGGTTTGTATTTTGTTGACAGAGGGACTGCTAGATTGAGTTATGGTATAATCACAGCTTCAGATTCTGGGAGTAGGTGTTTGGAATAGCAGTTAAGTCATCACTTGAGACACCTGTTGCCCATATCTAGTGTCTGGTTTGAGACCTGGATCTTCCACTTCGCATCCAGCGTCCTGGGAGGTAGCAAATAATGGCTCAAATACTTGGGTCCCTGAAACCCATGTGGAGACCCAGATGGAATTTGGAGATCCTGGCTTTGATCTGGCCCAACCCTGGATGTTGTGGCATTTGGGCAATTAACCAGGGTATGGAGGATCTCTGCCCTCTCCTCCCCTCTCCTCTCCCCTCCCCTCCCCTCCCTATCCTCTCTCTCTCTCTTTCAAATACAAACAAAATTAATTTTAAAAAATTGAAAAACAAAGGATTCTGAACTGTTGTCCTGCCTATAATTATACTAAAAATAAAAGTTATTAGAGAGATTTTTAAATCATCCAGTCTAATTTCTTCATTTTAAAAACAAAAGTGACTTGTCTGTGACAGAGGCAAAATCAGGACAAGACCCCAAGGACTTGACTCCAAGTGTATTCTCCCCAAGATTATAATTCCCTCCATACAAAGTCTGTTTTCTTCCCATAGACTTGGAACGCCAGTTGGAAGAGCAGAAGAAGCAAGCTCAGGATCACAGGCTGAAATCCCAGACAGTCCAAAATGTGGTGCTGATGCCCGTGAGCACCCCTAAGCCTCCTAAACGGCCCCGGCTCCAGCGGCCAGCCTCTACCACCGTCCTGAGCCCCTCTCCTCCTGTCCAGCAGCCTCAGTTCACAGTCCTCTCACCCATCACCATCACGCCTGTGGGCCAATCGTTTTCCATGGGCAATATTCCAGTGGCCACTCTCAGCCAGGGCTCCAGTCCTGTGACTGTGCACACACTGCCTTCCGGCCCTCAGCTCTTCCGCTATGCCACAGTGGTTTCCTCGGCCAAGAGCAACTCACCAGACACAGTGACCATCCACCCTTCCTCGAGCTTGGCACTGCTGAGCTCCGCCACCATGCAGGATGGGAGTCCCCTGGGCAACATGACCACCATGGTGAGCCCTGTGGAGCTAGTGGCCATGGAGTCTGGCCTGACCTCAGCAATCCAGGCTGTTGAAAGCACTTCAGAGGATGGGCAGACCATCATTGAGATTGACCCAGCCCCAGACCCAGAGGCTGATGATACTGAGGGCAAAGCAGTCATCTTGGAGACAGAGCTGAGGACTGAGGAAAAAGTGGTGGCTGAGATGGAAGAACACCAGCATCAAGTCCACAACGTGGAGATTGTGGTCTTGGAGGATTGACTGGGTATCTAGGGGCCAGGAGATAGGTTTTGGTTTGGAATTTAATTATTTGTTTATTTTTATCATTGTCCCATTCATTTCCACATAGGATCCTTCTTTTTTGTTGTTTAAAACAAAATCTCATTGTTGTAACTGAAAATGTTGGGTTCCTTCTGCCCCCTCACTGAAAAATGGACGCAACAAGCTACCCTTTCAGAAGCTGAGAGCAGATCACTCTGTGTCCTAATACCGAGAAAGTTATTTCTTTTAGGGGAGCTGTCAAGTTAACTAGAAACTCTTCCAGGCTAGTCTGTCTGTGTCCGCATGTAGTTTCATTCTTTTAAGGATGTGTTGACCAAACTCTGGAACACAGATCTGACACTGGAAGGCAACCCACTTGCATGTGGATGCAGAAGGGCACTTTTATTTTGTATCCTGGAAGGGGCCCCCAGAGGCCAGAGCGAAACTCGGAAACAAAAGGAAGTTGAACTCTGCTTGGAAGGGAGGTGGCATGCCAGCAGCCACTTGAGAGGGCAGGTGCTTTGAAGAAGATGGGGCAAGGGGATTTTCTTTCTTCCAGAGGTGCGACTGTGCCCCTGAGATCTCTGAGGCTACCATGGCTGTGACTCTGAGAGGAGGCCAGTGATGAGTGGGAGAGCACATCCCCACCGAGCCAGTGAGGCAGTGGCCTGTGGCTGTGGGGAAAGTAGAAGCTGGGTGACTTTGGTCTTCATGGTGGTAGCCACCTTGCCCCTCACTTTGTCAAAGCACTTACCCTCCTGAACTAGGACCAGTCCAACCATTGCACACTGTGACATGGTGGAAGTTGCTCTGGGTCTGGGACTGTGACTGCCGTGGGAGTGTGGCCCAGGGCTGGCGTTTCTATCGGGTGACTTCAGGAGCAGAGGCGTTCTTGTCCAGATCAGCTGCCGTGGTTGCTGGGCCTTTATTATTATTATTGTTGTTGTTGTTGTTATTATTATTTGGCTTTGGAACCAAAAGCAGCCACTCGTTTGGTGCTTCCTCTCGTTCTCCCCACCATCCTTCAACTCCCAGCGGCATCTGTCTCCTGGATCCCACGCTTGTCAGCTTTTTGGCTGATTTGGAGAGCAGTGACAGGTGCCTGCCTGCCTTCCTTCCCGTTTAGATTTTTATACCACAGATGTTTCTGTGAGATGTTGAGCTCATAAAAAGCCGTAGGCTTGGCAGGGAAGACTCCACACCCCCTGCCTTTGCTGAGGCACCAACTAGCTGTCTCCTCCTGAGCGAGCTGGACTCCCTGGGAAAGAAGCATTATCTGCAACATTATATTATAGGAAATGTACCAGGAATGTCAGTAATAATGTCCTTGGGGGGCTTCTTTTGTTTTCTTTCTTTTTTAAAAAAATGTTGTTTGTATATTTAGAGCTGGGCCATTTTCCATGCTGTGATTCCTTCTCTTTGGCCCTCCTCAGCGTTTGGGGCAAGAGTGGACCCTGGTTTTTATTTCTTTGGTTGCATTGTTTACTGCACTAGGAAAAACATAGGGAAACTGCAAATGATTTAAAGGAAGAATAGGTCATAAAAGGAAGCACACACTTTAGGAGTGGGAGGGGTTTTGTTTTTGTTTTTTAATTAAAAGCAAAACTTTAACCTGGTTTCTTTATTTTTTTTTTTCCCAAAAGAAGGTACTCACCTGAAGCCATGTTTGTTGCAACAGATGTTGGAAACCCTCTCAAATAATTGAAAACTGCATTCCGCCATGTAGCCAGAGAAGCTCTCCAACTTGGGAGGGGCACTCTTAGAAGTCTTACAAAGTGAGGTTTCTGAACCTTATACAGTTGTGGGTTTCAGCTTTAAAACTGGGATTTTCTTTTTCTTTTCAAGGTATTGAATAGGCTTATCAGTCAGTTTAAAACAAACCTTTGGATCTTTTATATATCTTTAGTGAAATAAGTAACTTATTTCCTGTCTCTTTATGTTTTCTGTTGGTTCATAAAAACAATTTCTTTTTTTAAAAAAAAGATTTATTTATTTGATAGAGTTACACAACAAGAGAAGGAGAGGCAGAGAGAGAGAGAGAGTGTGTGTGTGTGTCTTCTATCTGCTGGTTCACTCCCCAGTTGGCCCCAACAGCCAGAGCTGCAGCTATCTGAAGCCAGGAGCCAAGAACTTCTTCCAAGTCTCCTACACGGGTGCAGGGGCCCAAGGACTTGGACCATTTTCCACAGCTTTCCCAGGCCATGGCAGAGAGCTGGATCAGAAGTAGAGTAGCGGAGACTTGAACCGGTGTCCATATGGGATGCCGGCACTGCGGGCGGTGGCTTTACCCGCTATACCACAGTGATGGCCCCAAAAACAGAATTTCTAAGACTGAAACTACTACCTAAACCTAGAAAGGCACACCTCATCCCTGAGGGTTTTTTTTTTTTTTTTTAAGATTTATTTTATTTGAAAGAATTACAGAGAGAGGCAGAGAGAGAGAGAGAGAGAGGTCTTCCATCCGCTGGTTCACTCCCCAGATAGCTGCAACGGCCGAAGCTGCACTAACCCAAAGTCAGGAGCCAGGGGCTGCTTCTGGGTCTCCCACGTTAGTACAGGGGCCCAAGGACTTGGGCCATCTTCTGCTTTCCCAGGCCATAGCAGAGAGCTGGATTGGAAGAGGAGCAGCCAGGACAAGAACCGGCACCCATATCGGATGGCTTCAGACCAGAGCTTTAACCTGCTGTGCCACAGTGCCGGCCCTGCTGTGCCACAGTGCGGCCCCTGAGGGGGGGGGGGTGTGTTTTTTTTTTTCTGACATTTAGTCGACAGGCAGAGTGGACATAGAAAGAGAGACAGAGAGAAAGGTCTTCCTTTGCCGTTGGTTCACCCTCCAATGGCCGCCACGGCCGGCACACTGCGCTGATCCGATGGCAGGAGCCAGGTACTTATCCTGGTCTCCTATGGGGTGCAGGGCCCAAGCACTTGGGCCATCCTCCACTGCACTCCCGGGCCACAGCAGAGAGCTGGCCTGGAAGAGGGGCAACCGGGACAGAATCCGGCACCCCGACCGGGACTAGAACCCGGTGTGCTGGCGCCGCAAGGCGAAGGATTAGCCTAGTGAGCCGCAGCACCAGCCTTGATGTGGTTTTAATGACACTGTTCTCTTTCCCAGATTTGAAAGGATCACCAATGTGCCAGCTCAGATTCCTTTCTTTGCTCTGTCAGAGCAATTGTTGGAGTTTGAAGGTAGTCTGAGCATGACACTTCCAAAGCTAAAAAATCTCCTCAACACAGAGCCTATTGATTTCACTATCTGAATTTTCTAGCCAGTGAAATACTGCATGAGCTCTGTTGTTTTCCTGTTCTTCCAGTAGCCTGTTGTCATTGCTGGATGCTATGGCACCTGCGGTTCAGTGTGGATTCCCTCACAACCATGGTCTAGATGGTTTCAGATGAGTGAGACATAGGCAAGCCATTGGTATATGCATACGCATTTGCAATGAATCACTCTTCAGTCTGACTTGATAGTGATCTCTTTTTATTCTTTAAACAAACATAAGTCCCGTCTATGTGCTAGGCTTTGTGCTAGGCACTGGCCATACAGAGATGAAGACACAGTCCCTGTAATCAAGGAGTTCATATATTCCAGATGTCTGGAGTTAAGAATTATATTTTAATATAATTGGTTTCTTTTGCAATCCTATGTATTTATTTCACACATTGAAAAAATTCTGAGAATCGAGTTAGGTTTCAGCAGACTAGAAAAGGCACAAAAAGGCTAGGATGGCTTCTAGTGCCATCATCTTGGGGAAAGTGCAGTGATGGGGCTGTTGGCTGGGAGAGCTGGGAGAACAGTGGATCTGCAAATGTGGGCGGATTTCTTCGAGAAGGTGTGTACCTGAGATGATTCAGGAGATCCCACTTTTGTTGAGTTTTATTTTCAAGTAATTGGGCTTATTTATACAAGAAGAAAAAAATCTTTAGTCTCTTGCTGCTTCTGCCTACAAAGGCGGGCTCTCTCTCCAGAAAGTGCCCCACTGGAGAATGGAGTCGTGTATGGACTCCAGGTTTTCATCAGATGGGACCCATTGCTGAATCCAGCGCAGGCCTGGAGTCTGGCTAGTACAGTGTGAATGCCCCAGACCTTCCAAACGTGTGGTTTCCACAGAGAGCCTCAGAATCATCTATATAACTGCCTTGTCTTTCCATGTCCCTCTCTGATCCATGCCTAGTATAGTCTTCCCCTTCTTAATTTCTGTCTCCCACCCTCCTCAGGGCCCCCTCCCAAAATAACCACCCAATTATTCTAAAGTAAAAAATGGACCATAGTCACGAATATTCACAATTTAAAACAACATCATGTGAAAGTTCTTTCCTGTCCCTGTTCACATTAAGGAAGAAGGACCAATGTTAATCCAAATATCTTGAAAATACACAGTTCAGGTGGTTCTGACAATCTTTACTGGTGACATTTTATCCAAATTCATGAATGATGCTAAAGATAAGTATATATAGGGAATATTGATTATGAAAAGGGTAAAAATCAAGCATGGAATATGGAATTCCTAGTTCATTGAGTTATAACTGTTTCAGGTTTTTAATTTATTATATTTATTTGAAAGGCAGAATAACAGAGAAATAGAGAAATAAAGAGATCTTCCACCCACTGGTTCACTTCCCAAATGGCCACAATGGCTAGGGCTAGGCCAAGCAGGAGCCAGGAGTTTCTTCTGGGTCTCCCACATGGGTGCAGAGGCCCAAGGACTTGGTTGTCTTCTGTTGCTTTCCCAGGCACATTAGTAGGGAACTGGAACAGACCTGGTTGGAGCAACCAGGTCTCCAACCAGTGCCCATATGTGATGCCATTGTCACAGGTGAAGGCCTAACCTCCTATGCCACAATGCAAGCCCCACACAGACCCTTAAAAACCTGTCTTTTGGGGCCAGCATTATGGCATGACAGGTTAAGCCACCTCTTGTGATGCCGATGTCCTATACTGGAGTGTTGGATTGTGTCCTGGCTATTCCAGTTCCAGTCCAGCTCTGCTATTGCACTGGGGAAGGCAGTGGAAGAAGGCCCAAATGCTTGGGCCTGTGCCACCCATGTGAGAGACCAGGATGGAATCTGTGGCTGGTACAACCTTGGCTGTTGTGTTCATTTGGAAAGTGAACCAGCAGATGGATAATCTCTATCCCTGCTTTCTCTGTAACTCTGCCTTTTAAATAAATCTCAAGAACAAATAAATAATCTTTTACACTTGGGATGGCCTGTAGCCCAAGCCAAGATTTAACCTCATTCTTGAATAAATTATTTCAGTGCAGTATGATTGCTCCATCTTCACAGTTATGTGAAACCTCTGTTAAGTTTTGTGAGCCCGTCAGCCTAATGTAGACCACACCCTATGTTGTGAAACTGGCTCTCAGCTCTCTGTGGTTTCCAATTCTGCACCACCCTGGATAGTGATTGCTTAGGATACAGTACAGGTTTATGTGGATTGTATTAAGTTCTGGAGAGAAACAGATTCCACAGGATAAGTATGTAGGAATGTGAAGGAGGGTTTAGTATGGCGATTGGCTCACATTGTTAGTGAGAACTGATGACAGTCATCTGCCAGCTGGAGGCCATGGGACACTGGTAGCATGGCTCAGGCCAAGTCTGACATAATTCTAAGTTCAAGGCTGAACGCTTGAGTGGCAGCAAGGGGGGCCACTGGTGTGAATCCTGGTGTCCAAAAGCCAGCAACTGCATACAAGACAGGAGTTGAGCACGTCAAAGCTCTGAGTGAGGGACAAATTTGCCTTCTGTATTTAGTCCGTCCAGAGCCCAGTTGATGGTGCCACCCACATCAAGGCTAGGTCTTCCCACCTTGTCCACTCAGATTCATATGGGAATCCCCTTTGGAAACATCCCAGATACACCCAAAATAGTGTCATTTCCAGATTTCTGAGTATCCCTTAACCTAGTTGACACCATAAAATTAACCATCACATGGATTTTTTTTTTCTCTTTGAAGAGTAAGAATGAAAAATAAGTTTGTATCACATATAAAAGTAAATGTGAGACTGGGTAAGGACCCAGAAGGAAAGACAAGTTCCTCATTGGACTCTGTGGGAGTTGCTCTAAAGACTGCGCACACACACACACACACACACACACACACACACACACGATGGCTACCTGTATTGCAACATGTAAGGTTTTTGCTATTTTGTTTGTTTTAAACCCTCTGTTGTTTTCCCTAAAGAAGTCTATAGGGATGCGTGTTATGGCCCAGTGGGTTAACCCCTGCTTGGGATGCCTGCAGCCCATTTCAGAGTCGCTGGTTCAAGAGCCGCTACTGCACTTCCACTCCAGCTTCCTGCTGATGCACGTTCTATGAGGCAACAGACCTCAAGTCCTTGGTTCCCTGCACTACATGGGAAACTTGAATTGAGATGCTGGCTCCTGGCTTCAGCCTGGCCCAGCCCTGGCTGTTTCTGGCATTTAGAGAGTGAACCAGAAGGTGCGAAATACCTGTCTCTCATCTCTGTCATTCTGCCTTTCAAATATATAAACATTAAAAAATATTTTTTAGGGGCCAGTGCTGTGGTACAGTGAGTTAAAGCCCCAGCCTGCAGCACCAGTTTCCCATATGGGCGCTGGTTCGAGTCCTGGCTCCTCTACTTCCGATCTA